CGAAGTCATTTGGCGGACTTAACACCATGCGGCATTTTCTACCAGTCAACCATGGGTGGTGCAGAGAATAAATGTTGGCGGTGTAAATGTAATAAAAGATGAACAAAATGCAACAAAATATAAACAGAACGATAAATACAATATATACCTAAGAAATACAGTCATGTATTGCATAAATATATACAAATATTATAATATGTTATGCATATATACAAATGAATGTATCTTTAGAAATAGAAATAATCTTTATTCAAATAAACTCACTACAAGCACTTTTGAATAGTCATATTTTGACTCTACCACTCATTCGGAATACACATTCATCACAAGAAGAATGAGCAAGAAACTTGTGTGTTGCTCTTTTTAATAGATGTTTTTTTTATATAAATAATTACAGTATAACAAGTAAGAGGCATGCGATAATCAACATAGAAATCGCTACGCGCTCATTATTAGTGTAATCATAATATTGTCAGTGCTATGGATTTTAAGTTTTTCTACAATAACTTTCTTATCGTTAACTAATAGTATCTTTATATATAAAAACTAGCTTCTCGCCCCGGCTTCGCACGAGTATACATGTATTATATATATAAACCTTCCTCTTGGATCACTATATCTATTAAAAAAAAACTTCAAAATCCGTTGCGTGCTTTTAAAGATTTAAGCACGGACAGACAGCGCCTTTATTTTATGCTATACAATAATTACGTGTCACGTTGTTTGTCCGCGATGGACTCCTAAACTACTTAACCGATTGCAAATTTGATTTGCACATTGTGTGCAATTTGATCCGATTTTAAAGATAGGATAGCTTACATCTCAATTTATAGTCGCAATATTATTTTGTTCAAGAACCTTAGCCACAGCAACGCGTAGTTGTATCTGCTAGTACATATATAATATATACATATTAATATAACAAACATCATATATATATTTTATTGACGACCTCGGTGGTATAGCGGTCTAGCACACCACTTTACATCCGATGGTTGCGGGTTCGATTCCTCGCACGGCACAAACATTTGTATTCATGAGTATGATTGTTTGTATCGGTCTGGGTGTTTTCTATGTATAATATGTATGTATTTACGAAAAAAAATCGTTGTATTTGTATCAGTTATCTAGTACCCATAGCACAAGTTTTAGCTAGCTTAACTTGGGTCTAGATGGCGCTGTGTGAATTGTCCTGATATTATTATTATTTAAAAAAATCAATCTATAAGGTCATACAAATATACATAATTCCTCAATATCAATTTTCTATATAAACAATTACAAAAAACAATCATTGTAATCCAACGCGGCACATCGAGGCAGCGTACCCAAGATACTGGCAGCGTTGCCTCTTTGAATGGCCATACTTAGCCTTTGGGCAAAATAGCTACCAGCTCTCGGGTCACAAGTAACCTCAATGAGCCGCGGTGAAATATATGTCAAAAAAAGGGTCTATAAGGGGCGAAAAGAATGAGGGGTAACAACTAGTCTAACTAGTGAAGGTAAGTAACTTCGCCTTAACGTGTGTAGACTTCGATTTTTTACATAATGCACTTTCACTGACCAGTCGCGGCTCCATTTAGACCTCCGTCCAACACGCCGCGGTCCAGTTTAAACAGACAAACATACACAAACACGTCACGACAGGATATCAATATTGCAAAGGTTTATTTACATTATAAATTATAATTACATCCGATGGTCGCGGGTTCGATTCCTCGCACGGCACAAACATTTGTATTCATGAGTATGATTGTTTGTATCGGTCTGGGTGTTTTCTATGTATAATATGTGTGTATTTACAAAAAAAAATCTATGTATATGTATCAGTTATCTAGTACCCATAACACAAGCTTTAGCTAGCTTAACTACAACTCTAGATGGCGCTGTATGAATTGTCCTGAGAAAAAAAAATATGATTCATGTATAGGCAGAACCGCGAGCTAAAACTAGTCTGTACTGTTAGTTTAATTTATTAGTAAAAGATTTGATTTATGTGTGCAGAACCGCGAGCTCAAACTAGTCTGTACTATTATATAGTATAAGACCCGAAATTATAGTTTTTTCAATATACCATATATATGCAAAACAGCGATTAGTTACATTCTTTTTATATATTTACTAGCTGTTACCTATGACTTCGTCCGCGTGGATTTTTTTTTAAATTATAATAATATATTTCTTATATTAAAAAAAAAAGTTCTTATAAAGTCATCCAAAGTTACTGCTTATAATGTTAACTATCTGCTAGTGAAAGTTCCGTAAAATCGGTTCAGCCGTTTCAAAGATTAGCCAGAACAGAGAGACATACATTTGTTTTTTTTTTAATTCAAGTACCGTATATACTTTCATATGTATTTAGTGCAAAGCTCTTGAGTTGAAATTACCAACAGACAATTCAATACTTATCACTGACAAGTATCCAGAAATTGACATGATGTATTCGTATTTCTCTTTTTTTCTTATACCAATATTATAAAGACAGAAAGGGAGAGCCTATTTTGTTATAAGAAAAGGAAAGTAAATTTTTTTCTTTATAACACAGAGGACAAACGAGCGGCTCACCTGATGGTAAGTGATTACCGCCATGAGCACCCGCAACACCAAGTTAATTGCAAGTACGTTGTCGGCCTTTTAAAAAGGAATAAGCTCTTTTCTTGAAGGTTTCAATATCGTATCGGTTCGGAAATACCATTGCTGGAAGGTGATACCACAATGTGGTTGTGCGTGGCAAAAAGTTTCTAGAAAACCGCACTATGGAGGACCGCCATTCATCCAGATGATCAGGATGGTATTTCGAAAAATCTTCACCGATTTCTTTCTCCACCAGAAAGGTAAGGTTTAAGACACAATATCGGGCATGCCCTATGTTATGCGAAGAAATGAGGACCATGTCTTATGGAAAGTGTATAATATGAATGTGGATGGATGTAAAGGGTGGGGACGCCCTAAGAAAAGATGGATGGATTGTGTGAAAGATGATGTGAATAAAAGATATGACGATCGATAGAGAGCAGTGGAAGAGAATAACATACTGCGCCGACCCCAAATAATGGAATAAAGGCAAGGCAATGATGATGATGATCGGGCATGCCCTAGGCTCTTTTCAATTCTCAATCTTACTAAATATAAACGCAAAGTTTTGTGAGTACGAATGAATAGATGGATGAAGGGATGTTTATTACTGTTTCTAAAACTACTGAACAGATTTTAATGAAATTTTACTGTAATACTATATAAATTAAAATCGCTATTAAAAAAATAGGGTTGTTGCTAGAAGGGATTCTATGTATTTTTCAATGTTAAATCAGAATAAAATAGAAAGAAAATATCATGTCGAAAAAAAAATATTTAGGGGTGGACCACCATTATCACTTAGGGGTGTTAAAAACAGATAGTAGCCGATTCTCATACCTACTGAATATGTATATAAAATTTCATAAAAATCGATCAAGCCTCCTGTCCTGTGAAACACAGGAGTATGGTAGTTGGTAACTAACATTGTAATACGAGAATTTTATATATACGATATTTCTCTATTTAATAATATATATATACCTTACAGACTAATTTATTATGTAAATTGGGCGAAATATAATAATTTAAAATTAAATTTAAGTCAGTAGTAATTAATATAATAAAGGAAACTACAAAAATACTTGTTGATGTAAATTCTAATTACATAAAAAAAGTGTTGTAATAGTTAAATAAAAAAATACGAGATTTTCCTTTGAAACATTTTTCATCTATAGAAAGTTACGTTATCTGGGAGTCAATTAGGAATAGTTGCTGTATACAGATGGCTATATATATATAACGATATAACTAATAGTGATCTACGTATTTAAAATAATAATAATAATATCTGAGGACAATTCACACTGCGCCATCTAGTCCCAGCTAAGCAGAACTTGTGTTATGAATACTAAACAACTGATATAAATTCATACATATTACCATAGAAAACATCCAAACCGATACAACAATCGTACTTATAAATGTTTGTACCGTGCGAGGAATAGAACCCGCGACTATTGGAAAGTAAGACTGTGTGCTAAACTGCTAGACCTGCGAGACGTAATAATGTATTTACATACAATAAGTGGTTGTAATAATAATAATATTCAGTTCTGAGATCATTCTATTAATGTAAATAGATTATTGAAGTAATGTCAACATCGACTATTCTATACATCTAACTTGATAATAAAATGAAGCGATTGATGTAAGGCGATTGATCAGATTTTTCAAAAGAAAGACGCTTCTCTAAAGGTTGTTTTGTCTACATACCACAGATATTACATATTGATCTTAGGGCAGTATATTTTGCATATCGGGTATAGACAATAAATTTAAAAAAAAACTAAAAATAACAAAGATTCGAGTTTTGAGTGAAAAAAAGAAATATATAATATAACAATTACTTTAATTTATGAAAGAATATTTGCAAATATTATGGTTAAGTTTTTATATATTTATTATAATATAAAAATGAACCATTTATGTCGAAATCAAAATGTATTATCGTTTTTAAATAGTTTCTCGTAACGAGAGCCATCTATCGCTGAATAGCAAAAATAATAACTACATTATTATATTGTCTTGTGATAGGATCATATGGCGACCTTGAATATATTACACAGCATTCATGTTATTAAAATTATTTCTCATTTTACTTCAAATGGAAAAATATTTTCAGTTAAATACTAAAACACCGCGTTCAGTGCAACTTAATTTTATGTGTATTCTATAGATGGCGGTAAAAGTCACTTTGAAATGATTGTTTAATTCTAAATTTACTCCTGTCGAGTCATTTGTATGAAACTTATTTGTTTATTAGTAATAAATAAAATTAAGTTTATTTTTAATAATTCTATTAATATGTTGCTCTCATTCCATACGATTGAAATATTCATTTTTGTATGACATAGAGTAAACAATTTTTCACACTGGTCACACGATTTGCTAGTCTTTAGTTTATGGTGCACCCGCCGCTTGTGACAGTTCGTGAGTGAAGAATTGGAAATTATGAAGTAAAAATAATATTCTATTTTATTGTTTAAATGACAGCAGGAAAAGAAACCATGGGGTAAGATAATATTAGAATTATAAATTAAATTTATCGGCATACATTGTAATTGTTGTTATTGACAAGAAAAATGCAAATTTGCAAGGGTTCCCTGTTATTTTTAGGGAGGGGATTTATTTTACCAATGCGAAGGGATATTTTTGGTTTTACCCAGAGTTATGTTTATTAAATCTCTTTATTTTAAAAATAAACTTTACCGGTGACATTTTATGGATATAATTCCTTCTTATATTGAATTCGAGGTTGATGTTGGTACCTATTGCATTAACGCCTAAACGCGCGATTGCACATCGATTGCATACGATTGAGTGCTTTTACCTCGCAGATAAGGTCGTCGGGGATCATCCTGCTATTTTTAATGTCAATACTTATAAACTTGACTGTTCTCCTGTACTCCTTGTCTATGGGGCCCAGTGCCGCGGGAGTTAAATTGGCATTCACACACTTGTCTATTAATAATTTGCATATGAATCATGGTAATGTTGTTTTAAGAATAAAATATTCTATTGAATTATTTTTAAAATTTACATTACAATGTTTAAAATAATATATTATTATGAAATTTCAATGTCAGTAGATTATTTTAAAGTATATATACTATTGTTTTTTTTCCTCATATTCATCCATCTCCTTTTCAATGATGGAACAGGCAAAGATCCTTAGACCGTACAGCCTTTATACTATTGTTAGTGTTTAGATTTTTTTAATTCATGTGTTCTATTTTTAAAATATGAAACACTACTAAGATTTTCTTTAAACTGAGTTACTTTTTTGTAATATTTCCCTCCAAATGATAGGAATAATAGTGTTTTTTTTTAATTAAAAACTAAAATAAAGTTCATAATCAGTAATAAATGCAGTAATTTAAAATACAGCAGTTAGGTACATAGAATAGAATAGAAAATTCTTTATCTAAATAAAACAAAATTTAAGCACATCTGAAAAGTCATACTTGTTTTTATTGTCCCAATAATTAAAAAAGATGTCTTGTCACAGAAAGAACGAGCAAGAAACTTGTATGTTGCTCTTTTGAATAATTGTTGTAACTTTACAAGTTGATTTAAATATAAAAATATAAAGTTTGTGTGAATATACTCACACAATATATGTGAATATAAACTACCAATTAGCACTAATTCATCATAATATATTATAATTTCTCAGCTGTAATTCTAGACCATACAAATTAGTAGCCATTTGGAACTCTCAAATATTTCATATAAAATAAAAAACCCATAGATTTCAATCCATTACAATGTCACATAACAATTTCTTACAATTATGAGAATTGTAATAACATCCTTACATAACAAAGGGTAACACACTAGAAATGCAGTTATCTAATATCTCTATGAAGGAGACTAGGTAGGGATTTTATCAAGGAATGTCGCAAGTGTATTTATTGTCACAATATTGATTTATATGTTGCACATTGTCATTTCAACTTCACTCTTAATGATATGTGCTTAAAGATAATTTTTATCTGTAATGTTTTATCTTATGTTCAAGTATATTTTGAGAAGTATCTTAACTACTTAAGATATTGAGAGTATACTGGAGAATTTTATGAGTTGATGGCACATTGAGAATAAAGTAAACAGTTTTGGCTTGTTTTATTTTATTTTATCTGTTATTAAATATATATAACTCAAAGGTGACTGACATAGTGATCTATCAACGTACAGCCCAAACCACTGGACGGATCGGGCTGAAATTTGGCTTGCAGGTAGATGTTATGACGTAGGCATCCACTAAGAAAGGATTTTGATTAATTCTACCCCCAAGGGGATAAAATAGGGGATGAAAGTTTATATGAAACTTTGTCAATTTTAAACAGATCAGGCTGAGACTTTGCATGCATAAAGCTACTATAACGTAGGCATTCTCTAAGAAAGGATTTTGATAAATTCCACCTCTAAGGGGATAAATTAAAACGAGGGAAGCTGCGGGCAAAAGCTAGTTTATTTATAATTCTTTATTGCACATATATTAAAAGCAGATACATCTAAAATATATATATAACAATACATAAAAGAAAGAAGTAGCTATAGAAGGTGGCCTTATCCCTAACACAATGTATTACAGACATCCTTAGTAAAAAGAGTTATACTAAAAATATAGGAGGCACATGAGTGGAAATAAGATAATAAAATTAAAATAAAAAAAATGAATATACACTTATGTAAATAAATTAAAATTAAGTATACAGATGTACACCGGAATAGGTTTAAATATTAATCTACACTGAAATAAACTATTAATATACAACTAAATATAAATACACACATTTTTTAACATTGTGGTCACCCATGTTTTTAAGTAAATTACGCAATTGTGAGGATAAATTTATACCATTCATATTAATCCATCAATTTCAATGAACAGATGAGTAGAAGTTTCCAATGGGAAGCCACTATACATGACAGCATCACAGAACAGATTCACTCAGAGGCCTGGGACTGATCACAAATGTACACAGAAAAAAAATATAATCTATCAGGGCATTTTAGGTTAATCAATTATATTGTAATGTTTCTATTAATAAATGATATTGTACTATTTAAAACTATAAATAAAAAATACATAATTATCACTTGTGTTAATAGTTTAAGGTCTTGGGGCTTTAGGTCAGTTAGTCAATCAATTTCAAATTAAAAAAGAATTTATTTATGTAGGACATTTTAGCCGCTTATGATTTTTTTTATATTATATTCAAATTCAAATTCAAATTCAAAAATCATTTATTCATGTAGGACACTTTAGCCGCTTATGAACGTCAAATTTTTACATTATAATTTTATTTTTTTCCCTACCGTCCATGTAAATATAAATGTTACCTACCATCTCAGTTCAGTATACTGGTTCAATTGAGGACTGGCGAGAAACTCATTTGATTTTTTTTAAAAGCCAGTTTATTACAAAATCATGACTAATTTATCAGGAATTGGGAGAAAAGAGATGAGTAATGTGGACTAATGACACATTGTTAATAATGTGCTTTGTCTGGTTCACCACACTATGCTGTTTCCCCCGAAAAACATGCCATTTCCCCTGAAAACAATGCCATTTTCCCTGAAAACCATGCCATTTCCTCTGAAAACTATGCTGATAAATTCCTGGTAAGTTGGCCATGATGGGCCAACTGACCCGAGCTCATATTCATCTTTACGCTAGTGCGCCACTAGTAAATACTGTTAGCATAGGCGGGTGCACTATTACATAAAAATGCAATATGACTAAAAATAGTATGAAATAATAGGAAATAAAAAACAAGGTATTATTTTATTATTATATAGGATACTAGCTACTCGCCCCGGCTTTGCCCGGGTGTACCTGTATTATACATATAAACCTTCCTCTAGAATCACCCTATCTATTAAAAAATCGCTTCAAAATTTGTTCAGTTTCGAACAGTAAAACTTATTTTTTTAAACAAGAAAAACAATCTTATGTGTTGCCCTTTATAATAATTATTATAATTTTGCATTTTTATGATGAAACATGTGAATATAAACTCCAACGGAGTATCATTAATTCATCAGAGTCAAAATTAAATACCCAACCAAATGGTTGAGTAACTAAATAAGACTAAATCAGTTATAGAGATTAGACTTGCTTTTTATTTATAAAAAAAAAAACAGTAAAAAAATTGTATCTATTATTGTATTTATGCTTGTAGGAACTGGTCTGCATCCGTCACTAGAAATAGTACTACTGTTATATGTAAAAAAATATGTGAACTGTTTTTTTTAAAAACATAATAAACATAGAAAACATCCAGACTACCACAGAACAAACTCATGAATACAAATGTTTGTAACGTGCCAGTAATCGAGCCCGCGACCTTGATAAATAAAGCGGTGTGCTAAACCACTAGATCACCGTCACACAGATCGCAGAAGCCCACGTGCAAAGTATACGTTTGTAAAAACTGCAGAACTAGCTGCACCCGCGACTTCGTTCGCATGGAATTTAACTTAATTTTCTAAAATAAAAATGGCCTAAGTTACTCTTTATTACATCAGCTACCTGCCAAAAAAAAGTCCCGTCAAAATAGGTTCAGCCATTTCAGAGATTAGCCGGAACAAACAGACATACTGACAAAAATTATAAAAAATGATATTTTGGTACCGTATTTATATTCATATGCATGTAGTAAAAAACGGTTATTTCAATATTACAAACAGACACTCAAATTTTATTTGTATGTATAGATGTATTTAGGTAAGTGTGTCCTATATATGCAATGAAGGTGTAATAGTGGTACATTTGACGACCTCGGTGGTCTAGCGGTCTAGCACACTACTTTAGGTCCGATGGTCGCGGGTTCGATTCCTTGCACGGCACAAAAATTGATATTCATGAGTATGATTGTTTGTATCGGTCTGGCTGTTTTCTATATATAATATGTTTGTGTTTACAAAAAAAAATCGATGTATTTGTATCAGTTATCTAGTACCCATAACACAAGCTTTAGCTAGCTTAACTTAGGTCTAGATGGCGCTGTGTGAATTGTCCTGAGATTATTATGATTACTATATTTGTCGACAGTGAGCAGCCGATCTTCACGTGCAAGGCACACGTGTTCCACATAGACCCGAAGACGAAGCGGTCATGGATGTCGGCCAGTTCTGCGGCAGTCTCCGTCTCCTTCTTCTACGACTCCTCCAGGAACCTGTACAGGATCATCAGCGTCGAGGGTACCAAGGTAATTAAAAATCCGTCCCAAGACGCTTCACGTAGCGCCATCTAGTCCCAAGCAGAGTTTTATTTTTTTTTATAACACAGGGGACAAAGTGGCACCGGTGTCAGAGAGGTTGAAGAGTAATCGTCTATCATGGTATGGACATGTAATGCGTAGGAACGAGGATAATATTTTAAGAAAGATGTTACAAATGAATGTGGATGGTTATAAGGGCAGAGGAAGGCCAAAAAAGAGATGGATGGACTCTGTGAAAGATGATATGGTAAGAAAGGAAGTAAATAACGCGATGACTGCGAACAGGGATGAATGGAAGCGAAAAACATATTACGCCGACCCCAAATAAATGGGATAAGGATGAAGCAGATGATGATGAACACAGGGGACAAACGAGCATGTGGCTCACCTGATGATAAGTGATTACCGCCGCCCATGAGCACCCGCAACACCAGGGGAATTGCAAGTACGTTGTCGGCCTTTTGAAAAGGAATAAGCTCTTTTCTTGAAGGTTTCAATATCGTATCGGTTCGGAAATACCATTGCTGGAAGGTGATTCCACAATGTGGTTGTGCGGGGCAAAAAGTTTATAGAAAACCGTACTGTGGAAGACCACCATTCATCCAGATGATCAGGATGAAAATGCTATGGGTATTACACAACTACAAAATAATATATATTAATCTTGAGTTGCCAACCGTCCTGTTTTCCTAGGACATGTCCCAGTTTTTGTGTCCCGGGAAGGTCTGAATAGTTACTTGGAAGCATCCTGGATTTTTTAAAATACGTGCCTCTTAATTACTGATTTTTAACAGTATAATTTTATAAAATACTTTCTATTAGAATAGAATAGAAAATAATTTATTCAAATACACTTATTATAAGCACTTTTGAATAGTCATAACAATTTTTTTTATCTACCGCTCATTCGGAAAGCTGTCTCATCACAAGAAGAACGAGCAAGAAACTTGTGTGTTGCTCTTTTAAATAATCCTTGTAAGTTCAGATTTTACAAGTTGAAACGTGTGAATACAAACTACCAATCAGCACTAATTTTTTATACTATGTAATGATTATAAAGCTGAAGAATTTGTTTGTTTGTTTGAACGGGCTAATCTCAGGAACTACTGGTTGGATTTGAAAAATTATTTGTCGAGGAAGTTTTTAAGCTATATAACATTACGCTACGACCAATAGGAGCGGAGCTCAAAAAATATTGTAAATGGTGGGGAAGTAAATGAAACGCGGACGAAGTTACGCGGGTCAGCTAGTCTATACATATAAATAAAATTGGAGTGTCTGTTTGTAATATTGAAATAACCGTTTTTTACTACATGCATATGAATATAAATAGGGTATATACACCAAAATATCATTTTTTACCATTTTTGTCAGTATGTCTGTTTGTTCCGGCTAATCTCTGAAATGACTGGACCGATTTTGACGGGACTTTGTTTGGCAGATAGGTGATGTATTAAGGAGTTACTTAGGCTACTTTTATTTTAGAAAAATAAAGTTAAATTCCACGCGGACGAAATCGCGGGTACAACTAGTTTATAATATAAGCGAAAGAAAAAAATTGATTCTTTAATATATTTTGCATGATTCCATTATAAAATTATTAAATCGATTTGTGAATCTTCATTTCCGAGGTCGGTTGACCGGTGCTCGACTCGTTTACTGTTGGATGCGAATTGTTGCGAGTTGCAGACAAATATTTTTGTTTTATGAAATGTTTCGTACGGAATTTGAATATGAAATCATGTTGCGTTTCTCCCGCAAATTTTTGTTTCTAACTACTCTAATGCTGTTGGCCGCAGCTGACCTTTACAGCTTCACGGGACGGTAGGGGGCGAGTGCAGATGGCACTCCAAACCAAAGGACTTAAGGAGCGGCTGAATTGTTTGTTTCGAACTACTCTAATGCTGTTGGCCGCAGCTGGCCTTTATAGCTTCACGGGACGGTAGGGGGCGAGTGCAGATGACACTCCAAACCAAAGGACTTTTGGAGCGGCTGAATTGTTTATTTCGAACTACTCTAATGCTGTTGGCCGCAGCTGGCCTTTATAGCTTCACGGGACGGTAGGGGGCGAGTGCAGATGGCACTCCAAACCAAAGGACTTAAGGAGCGGCTGAATTGTTTATTTCGAACTACTCTAATACTGTTGGCCGCAGCTGGCCTTTATAGCTTCACGGGACGGTAGGGGGCGAGTGCAGATGGCACTCCAAACCAAAGGACTTAAGGAGCGGCTGAATTGTTTGTTTCGAACTACTCTAATGCTGTTGGTCGCAGCTGGCCTTTACAGCTTTACGTGACGGTAGGGGGCGAGTGCAGATGGCACTCCAAACCAAAGGAAGGACTTATAGAGCGACTGAATGCCAATTCCTGCCTGATGGCTACGAGTTAAGACTTAGGGCACCGCTAAGGTTTAGAATCTCGGTATATAAAAAAAAATTTTGACTATTCAAAAGTGCTTAAATTAAGTTTATTTGAAAAAATAATTTTCTATTCTATTCTCTAATCTTGAATTAAATTCCGAACTGACGGTAGATTTGACATATCATAAGAGTCTGTAATAGACCTACATGAATAAAGATGTTTTGAATTTTTGAATTGTTATGACGTATTGTTTTTTAAATGAATTATAGAGAATGCACCGCTTGCGGTAATAACGGTTTACACTGATGGGTACCATTGGCGGATGATAAGATGAGCATGAGGTCAGATCTGTCAGCCCATCCTGGTGAATTAACCAAGAATCTACGATGGTTTCCAGGGCAACCACGTATAGGTCAATCTGGCTTGGTACTTTGCTATAACTGGGTTGTTACTGGAGCGGGAAATCAACTACTATTTTAATAAAAATCAAGTACTAGTAAAAATGTGTTTTTTCCCAAAAGGGCTCACAGCGAGATGTAACAAAATAATATGTTAGTCAAAAGTCACGTATAAAAAATAGATATCAAAAATATTAAGTTTATAAAAAGGATGGTAGACAAGCGGCCAGCAATAGGGGTCCCCACCTCGTACTGTTCAAATAAACTTAATTTTAATTTCAATAAACTTATTTTATTAAATTTATTCGTATAAATATCATTTCTATCGTATTCTTTTATCTTTTGATTTAAGCCTATCTTGTTATTGGTTAAGTTAAAATGTAAAAAACAAACTGAACCTTATTTAGAACTAGCTACTCGCCTCGACTTCGCCCGGGGGAATTATTCGTATTATATATATAAACCTTCAAGAATCACTCTATCAATTAAAAAAAGAGCTTCAAAATCGTTTGCGTAGTTTTAAATATTAAACCATACATAGGTACGGACAGACAGAGACAGCGACTTTATTTTATACTATGCAATAATGTTAGTTACGATTAAAGTTATAAAATAATTTCTCTCTTTTGAAAATTAACAAAGCCTCCTCTTTAAGCGTCTGTCGTTTGTGGCGGACACAGATTACAGAGGGATCTCTAAAGAAAGTAAAGGAGACAAAACAAGACAAAAGGAATTTGTTGTATTGTCTTTTTAATTATAATTTACCAGTGGCAGATTGTACAAATCCGCCTATGTTATAAACAGAGATAGCTGTTTATATTATACTAGATGAAAACCCGGCTTCGCTCGGGTGAAATGTGGGTAGATATTTCTGTAGTCATCGGTTCTCATGGAATATTAAAAGTAAAGAAGGCATAGATTTGTAAAACTTCGTTCATTGTGTTTGATAAATATAGTAAATAAAAAGTGCAAAAGTTTTTATACAAATAATTTTTATTATTTTGTAAAGCTTTAAGTTGGGCTAAAGAGAACTTGTATCCAGAGCCGTAAAACAAATTAATAAAAAAAATTGCCAAATTTGTCTCGCAATCGGCCAATTTCAGGTTTAAAGAAAAAACACATACTCTTTTATCATAAAAAAGTGTCAAAAACAATATTTTCGCGAAACGTCAACGACCGAAGAAAATGCTAGTGAAATGAATAGATGGCGACTGCGGTTTGTTTGTCAGTGTCATTAGAATTTAACGAAATACTCCATAATCCGAATTTTGCGGATATATGTTGTCGACTCGAAATCAATATTTTTTTATGTTTTGTTATTCACATAAGGTTTCGTTCGAGTCTATCGTACCCCTTGACGAAATTATTAATATAGATGTTCGAACTAGCTTTTCCCCACGGCTTCACTCGCGTTAATTTATCCCCTTAGGGGTGGAATTTATCAAAATCCTTTCTTAGGGGATGCCTACGTCATAGTAATTTTATGCATGCAAAGTCTCAGCCCGATCGGTTGAAAATTGACAAAGTTTCATACAAACTTTCATCCCCTATTTTATCCCCTTGGGGGTAGAATTAATCAAAATCCTTTTTTAGCGGATGCCTACGTCATAACATCTACCTGCATGCCAAATTTCAGTCCGATCCGTCCATTGGTTTGGGTTGTGCGTTGCTAGATCACTACGTCCTTACGTACGTACGACCTTTGAGTTGTATATATTTAGATTAAATAAGGTCGGATTTCACCAAAGAAACTGATCGCGTTTAGTTTGAACTGAACGCGATTAAAACGTTTAAACATGTTCATAGCTTCATTCTGCATCTCACCACTACAAATTTCGCTAAACACGTTTATAAATTCTGAACGTCTGATTTCCTATAGTTAACTCTTTAAACGTATTTAAAGCAGCTGTCAGTTGTCAAACAGTCATCAATCAAATTTTTGATAATACAATATCGGGAATAAAAAAAAAATTCCAGTAGTAGTAGTAGTAATGCTAATATATTTTTTTAATTATAATTTTAATTGATTATGTTCGAATTTCGACCACGGTGTTACTACTAGTATTTTTTTATAGTATAACACTATGCCCATTAGAAGAGATAATGAAAGAATGCGTATAATTAGGTAGCACCCTATATAAGCCAATTTGAACGATTTACAGTTACCGTATGCCCTCGACCTACATGCCAGTTTACTTCATTAATTATTAAAAAATGAAAGAATGAATTTAA